CACCTGCCTCCCCGGCTCCAGCGACCACCACTCGCCTCCGGACCAGGCGCCCACAGGCCGCAGGCAGCCCACTGGCAGTTGAAGAGCCTGTCTCTTTAAATACGGGTCCTTGAGCTGGCGGCAGTACGCAGGCGCAACGACCGAGGCCGTAGCTACGTGACCCGGCCCCGCCCCCGGTCCCGCCACGTGCTTGGTGTGGATTCCGCTCGGTCGGGTTGGTGATGAGTGGAGGTAGTGGGATCCCCAGCCCCGCGAGGACGCCCCCAGATTGCCAGGGATCGTCTAGTCCTTAAAGGTACTGGTTGAGAAACTGTACTGTAGTGAGCTTGGCAAAGGTGGCGTCATCCAGGCTTTTTCCTTATTTCCTCGGTGCCGTGTCACGCCCTGCCACTGGGCAGTAACTTCCTGGATTGAAAAGAGACACTGGGTAGGTGGAAGGTAGCTGTCGTGTGAAGGAGCGGTGGGGGAGAGTAGCCCTTTGGTTAGGTATGGTTCAAAGTGTATTTTTTAAAAAATATCTTTTAGTTGTCAATGGGTCTTTATTATTTTTTAGTCTATTTATATGTGATGCTGAGAATCGAACCCAGTGCCTCACACTCTACCACTAAGCTACAATCCCAGCCCTCAAAGTGTACTTTCACTTCTAAACCTCAAGTCCGCTTTATGACAGCTTGACTTGGCTATTTTTACAAAAGAGCGACAGAGAAGGCAAGTAACCTTGTTCAGGGTCCAGAAAGGGCAAACAGCTGGATCTTATTACATAAACAAAGAACAGATATCTAAGGGGATTCTTTATTTTTTTTTTCTCCTTTTGGTAGTGGTAGTTGAACCCAGGGGCTTCCTACAATTGAGCTATACCCCAACCTTTTTAATTTTTTAAGACAGAGGGTCTCATTAAGTTGATGGGACTGACATCCAGCTTGTGATCCTCCTGCCTCAGCCTCCCAAGTCTCTGGGATTATTGGCATGCACCACCCCCCAAGAGGATTCTTTGCTTTGTGACAGTTTGACCTTCATTCTGTAGGGGAAGGTGAACCATGAATGAACCTAGGGAATACTAATTACTGTTAGTCAGGGAGTGACTGAGGCAAGGGAACCAAATAGAAGGCTATGTGGGTGGGGGGGGCAAAATTGCAATGTTTGCCGTCAAGGGGAGAAATAAAGAATGTACACGAGCTTCTGCCCTTTTTAGTGCTTTATTCACTCAAACTACTCAATACAATTTCACTCTATAGGTTCTTAAACAAGAAAACAACAATCCTTAATGCTAGGCAGTGCAATAGACAATCAATTCACAGCAAACAATTCTATATTAATTTTAAGCACTGCAAAACACTTAATCATGATAGGCTAGTCATTTCCTCTACATGCTAAGTTCAAAAATCTCAAGCCTTAGGTTTTATGTCCAGCTGATGCACACTCACTTTAGACCCGGGTGACCAGCTTTGGAACCAAGGCAGGCTGTTCCTGGCATGGAATGGACGACTAGTTGAGGAGAGGGTTGTAGGGAGAAGTTGTGGCTCTCACCAGGGTCCAGACCAGGCAGTAGAGTTTGAGAGTGGGTGAGGATCATGCAGAGGATCAGGAAACCACGTCAGTTGATGGGATGTTAGGTCCTCACCAGGCTTTCCAGCTCCAGTGCATTCTTGTTTCAGCTGGCTGAATCCCTGTTCATCAGCTCTATTATTTATACTAAATTCTGGGACTTTTGACCCCCCTTTCAGTCCACTGGAATTTTCCATGACATCATTTACCCTGGGGTCAGAAACATCTGGTCTGGTGGTGGTCTCCACCCTGATCCTCTCGCCTTTCCCTTGTATCTGGCAAGGTCAGCCTGCCAGGGGCTTTACCAGGGTGAGGGGAAGTAACTTGTTTGAGGTCATACTGGAGGGCTCTGTGGGTGTGCCTGGTGAGACTGCTGGCTTTAAAATGGAGTTGCTTAGGCTCAGGCCTAAGGTCATCCTCCCAAAGGCCCTTGTGGTAATCCATGTGAGAGATGAGAGTGTCCTGATGAAGTGCTCATATATCTGTTATGAAATAAGGATGACTTGAGTGACCATATAGAGGCCATCACCTGAACTAAAAAATTAAGAAAGGAGGAGGAAGTACATCCAATAAAGGGATCAGTTTTGTTTTGGGTGTATTAAATTTGGTTAACCAAGGCTAATGTTGATTCCAGTGTACAAAGTGGACTAAAGCTTCTCTGTCTTTTCTATGATATGTGGCAGAATAAGAGTCTTCAGAATTGGAAGGCCTCAGAGGCTTACATCCTAATTCCAGTGATCCTGAACGTCTCTACCACTGCATTGACTACATTTTGATTTGAAACACTTAACTGGTATCCATCTTTTCCCCTAATCCTGTGCTATCCAGTACTGTAATAATGACTAGCCACGTATGGCTTTTGAACACTTGAAATGTGGCTAATGCAAGTTGAGAGAGGCTATTAAGTGAAAGCTACACACCAATAAATAAATACCACTGCCCAAGAATGTCAGATCTCACTAATAATATCTGTATGCTAATTACATGTTGAAATAATTTTTGAAATGTTGGATTAAATAAAATATATTATTAAAATTAATCTCAGCTGTTTTACTTTTTTTGACAATGTGGCAACTAGAAAATATGAAACTGCATGCACTATTTTCCTATTAGATGCCAAAGCCCTACATTTAAAACCTATTTGCAGAGGGTGGCATCTGTGCCTTGTGCTTCTTTTTAGCCTCCCTGATGGTGCCGGGCACATACATAGTACACAGAAAGGAAAAAGATCCCTTACAAGGATGTTTATTAAGTTGTGTCTTTGACAATAATTACAGACTTAGTATTGTTAGTATTGTTTTGCTTCATTAGAGCTCCATGGCACCCCAATGATCTCTGACTCAGGTCCCCTCCTATGAAATAGAACTAGGTGTGAAGGCTGGCAATTGAATCTCTTTAGAAAGATGGGAACTGGCTGGGTGTGGTGGCACATGCCTGAAATCCCAGCAGCTTGGGAGGCTGAGATAGGAGGATCGTGAGTTCAAAGCTAGCCTCAGCAACTGCGAGGCGCTAAGCAACTCAGTGAGACCCTGTCTCTAAATAAAATACAAAATAGGGCTGGGGATGTGGCTCAGTGGTCTAGTACCCCTGAGTTCAATCCCTGGTACTAAAAAAAAAAAAAAGGTGGGAATTGTTCTCCCAAGGAGAATGTAAAGTGTGGTGGGGAAAACAACTTTATAGCTTTGTAGTTATAGATTCACATTCTACCTCAACTTGTGTGACCTTCATCTGTCTTGTTCTCTGGGCCTTTAGTTTTCTTAATGAAGTGGCGATAGTTTTACATTTTACATTTAGGTCTGTATTCCATTTTGAGTTAATTTTTGGGAAGAGTGTATAGTCTGTTATTTTGATTCTTTTCTTTTTTTCTTTTTTGCTAATGTATGCCTATGTTATTCAAGCACCATTTTTGAGGTTGAGGGTACCTGAGAGATTAAACTCAGGGCCACCCAGCCACTGAGCCACATCCCCAGCCCTATTTTGTATTTTATTTAGAGGCAGGGTCTCACCGAGTTGCTCAGCACTTCACCATTGCTGAGGCTGGCTTTGAACTCAGGATTCTCCAGTCTCAGCCTCCTGAGCTGCTGCGTGTGCCACCACACATGGCTACAAACACCAATTTTTTAAAAACTCATGCTTTTTTGTTCCTTTGTCAAAGATCATTTTAGTATATTTATGGGTCTACTTCTGGGATCTGTTTTTTTTTTTTTCTTTTTTTAATGTATTTTGGTGGGTTTTTTTGGTACTGGGAATTGAACCCAGGGATGCTTAACCCCTGAGTTACATCCCCAGCCCTTTTTATTTTGAGACAAGTTTTTACTCAGTTGCTTAGGACCTCGCTAAATTGCCCAGGCTGGCCTTGAACGTTGTGATCTTCCTGCCTCTACTTGCCAAGTTGCTGGGATCACAGCACTACTGCACACAGCTTGGGCTCTGTTTTTTCCCCCCACTGATCTATTTGTTTCATTAGTACCACAGTATTTTGATCACTTCAGCTTTATAATAAATCTTTATATCAGGTGGTGTTGGTTTACCAACATGGTTATTCTTCAATGTTATGTTGACTATTAAGGGTCTTTTACTTCATATAAACTATACGATCATTTCCTAAAGCTAATATTCACAAATAACTTGCTGGAATTTTTCTTGTGATTGCACTGAATCCTCAGCTCAAGTGAGGAAGAACTGACATCTTGACAGTTTTGTATTGAGTCTCCTATTTATAAACATTGAATATCTCCGTTTATTTTGTTCTTTGATTTCTTCAAAGTTTTGTAGTATTCTTTATATAGATCTTGTACATATTTTGCTAGATTTATACTTAAATATTTCATTTTGGGTGGAGTGAAATAAGGATAAAATAACTTTTGTGATTGTTTATGACAATTAAATGAGATGACAATATTGACTTGCAAACTGTTTAGCCCGTAGAAGTATTACAGTAAATGTACATTCTCCTCTACCTTCCAGCCTGGGTACATTCGTCCCACTCAGAGTTTACTCTCTTTTGTGGATTAATCAGTCAAGTGATCATTGAATGCCTACTCTGTATTGGGCACAATTCTCCAACCTGGAATACAGCAAACATTCCTACTCTGATGAAGCTAACAGGCTAGTGTGGGACATAGCAAACAAATTAGTAAAGTACATAGGCTGTAAGGTATGGATGGGTACTAAGCAGAAGAAGGGAGCTAAAGAGGATCAGAGGTATGGGACAATGAGGGGAGAGTTGCAGTTTTAAATAAAGATCAGGAAGGATTCACCAACTAAACTCAGAAGAGAATTAATGAAAAAAACTGGGAGTGGTGGTACATGCCTGTAATAGCAGCAACTTGGGAAGCTGAGGCAGGAGCATCACAAGTTTGAAACCAGCCTCAGCAATTTAGAAAGACCCTATTTATCTCAAAATAAAGAATAAAAAGGCACAAATGGTTTTAGTTTTACTTTTTACATTTAGGTCTGTGTATACTTTGTGTACAATCAGTGACTCGAAAAATTATGCTCTATCTGTGTAATATGAAATGAGTTACATTCTGCCATCATGTATAATGAATTAGAATAAATAAATAATTTAATT